ATGATGATGATGATGATACATGATGATGATGCTGATGACGATGATGATGATACATGATGATGTTGATGATAAAGGGGATGATGATGGCACCCACCGGTTTTAGCACCCTGTATTTGCCTCCTTTCTTAGGCTTCGTAATCAGCAACAGATCAGTGAACAGAAACACGTGAACGTCCATCTACAAAGAAAAGGGAAGAAAACTTAGGAACTGTAGGGATAAATTACAAAAATGGAGCCAAAGAAGTCAAGCAAACTGAAAACCAAATAAAAACGTGAGGGAACGAAAGAGCAAAGTTGAATGATGAAACACTGAAAAACTTGAACAAAGTTGTAATATTCGCACCTTTCCCTGTTTCTCTACCAATCTCAAAGGTCCCTCAGCAATAACACATCGATGTTGATCCAGCCCAGGCATCAGATCCATCAGATTGAACAACGAGTACTCTGTCAATATCTGAAAAAATAGGGCAAATACTTATTACAGGACTCTTGATATATCTCCTGCACAGCATAGGCTCAAAAGAAGCCCCTGACATCAAATAACATAGACCTGCATGTCCATCAAGTTTGACTTACGCAGCCAGGTTTACACTCCTTTACGGATAATCGGAGCAGCAAAACATGATTTCCAGAGATAAAAATTGTCATTCATTAACTATTTTTTGTTTTTAAAAAAACCTTTTTTTCCCGCAGATTCTCATCGTCAATATCAGTTTTTTCTTCGTGAAAGGTCAAAATAAAAACCGTAAAGTAAAGTTGGAACAAGTTCAATATCACAATAAATCAATAAATTCAATAAGCAAAATTAGTAAAAATACGCAGGTGATTATTGAAAATCTCGCGCGCTGATTGGTCGAGAAACTCACACTATCACACGATAATCACCTCCAGCGATAATCCAAAATGGCGGCCAGCCGCTTTGTTGCTGTTACCGGAGAGGAATTATAAATAATGAAAGAAAATGCTATCCCCAAAAGGACTAAAGAGGCTAACAAATTTGTACTAACTTTGTTCGAAGGTAAAAAAGGACTTAAAACAATCAAATAAGCTCAAACAAACAGTTTTGATTCGTCGGAGTTCGCCTGTGTTGTAATTGAAAGACGCGTTTGTCACTTCAATTAAAATTTTTCCTAATTTTAAATGTGCCTTTTACTCTTCTTTTTTTGAAAGAATCACCTGTGTATTTATACTAAAACAATTATTTGCCTCAACCTCAGTGAATATCGGGGAATATTTACCTCGCCGCTCGAAGACTCGCGTCTCGATATTCACTTCGCCTTCGGCGAATAATTCGTTAAAGAGTAAGATAACGATGATACTCATTACACGATACTATGTACTAACGAGCAAAACCCTGCACAACAGAGAACTTAACACTGAACAGGGTTCTTATAACGAGATTATAAAATTCCAGGTATTCCAGGGTATTAGAGAGTTTTAGATTTACGTTCACGGCAAACGTGAAACGTCAGTTGACCAGTAAAAAATTCTTTTAAATTACTGAAAAAGAATCGCAAAAAAAGTCCAAGTAGTAGAAAAACAAAAGAGTATTTGCGCTTGGTGAGAAGGTTTGTAAAAGGTAAAGTAAAATAGAGGGAAACTATGAAAACGTGGTCACGATTGCAGTTTGCGGGGAGAAAAAAAAGTCAATACCCTCAACTTTGAAAAATTTTACATCAGAAATAGTGAAAGGGTCGTTATCTTTAGACCAATTCGTGACTTACTAAGTTGTCGGCCGAGAAAACATTTTTATTATTAATTTTATTAGTCTAATATTTAACCTAATACTTATTGAAGTTTCAAGGAATTTTCCAGGAGTTGGTGTCAAAAATACAACTTTCGAGGAGTCTTCCAGGGCCCTGGAAGAAATTTTCGAGAGTCCAGGAGTTTTCCAGGAATTCCAGAAGCAGAGTAAACCCTGACTGAAGTATTTACCTTTTCCATTTCGTCGTTAACAGCTTCTACCACGTTATAGTTGTTCTTTATTCGTTTAGTAATGGCGAGGAGCTTATTTTTCTCGTACATTTCTCTCATGGCTGTGTTAACTTTCGCCAACAAAGTTTCCACTGTTGCAATCTGGGAAAAAATCGTAAAAATTCACGATTAAATCATAAATTAAAAAGGACGCATTTTATCAATAAAACGTATCCATATCTTAAAAATTAATTTTATTATTGAATCCGTGTTCAAATTCAAGCAATATCTTTCTTTTTTTGGTTATATAAATTTATTGGAGTGGAATAAAAAGAACAGAACTGGAACACGAAGAAAGCGGAAATTATTGGACATCACATTTTGTTACCAACTATTTCTTACGCTCGTAAAATACGTTCAACGTGAATGTGATAAAAAAAATATATGGGAGAGATAATGGGAGAGACAGATGAGAGTGGGAAGGAAGACAGCGAAGAAAGGGAGGGACGCAGAGATGGAGGGAGGCAGAGATGGAGGGAGGCAGAGAGAGATAGGACGAGGGATGAGAGAGGGAAATAGAAAGGAAGAGAGGGGGAAGGGGAGGGAGAGAGGGCGAACGGAAATGAGAGTGAGAGAGCGAGCGGGAGTGACAGAGTGGAAAAAGGGAGAGGGAGATAGAGAAGGAGATAGAGAAGGAGATAGAGAAGGAGACAGAGAAGGAGGGAGAGAGGGAGAGAGAGGAGAAGAGAAGGGGTAGGCGAGAAAGAGAGAGAGGGAGAGAGAGGAGTAGAGAAGGGGTAGGAGAGAAGAGAGAACATACCATGGACATGATGTCTTCCTTCATCTCTTCATCTTGCGTTTTCTTGTGAATAGCTTTGAGCAGCAGCGGGTACTTGGTCAGTCTCTGCATCGGTTTGACGAGGTAGTCTGACAGTTTGAGTCTGTTTGTACATAACCGATGTTCTTCACACCACTATAAAAAAAAAACAATCATTACTAAACACCAAAATTACTAAACATTTCACTCCAGTAAATCTCTTTTAACCTATGAGAGAAATTGAGGATGAAGATAAACTAGATTCTCACACACCACTGGGAACTATTGTCCAGCTGACTGCCGCCAACTGACTTCTTTATTTCTGAATAACTCAACATATGTATTACTGTAATACATCATTCTGTGGGGCTAACTAAACAGTCATGGCGGACAGCGAAAAAGCAACTGATGAAAACACTGACCACGTAACTAATGTCCCTCGGCCCAGGCTCCAGTGCTGTGAGAAAACATTTCCCACTTATGTCGTTCCTCAGCCAGTGGAAAATACAACTTACCGTGATATAAGTCCTGAAGTCTTCATTTTCAAGCATCTTCTTCTTGAAATACTTCAAACAGTGTGATTCTTCCTTGCAGTATGTAATGTATGGTTCAAATCTCTTATCGAACTGATAAAAATAACACCAAGGTTCAGTCACGTTAGATGGCAGGAACAACACAGTCGTTTTACATGAGAAAGAATTCAATCCCCGAGAGCAAAGGGATTTTATTGTCCTCCCATCTAATTACAGGCAGCCCAAGCTGTATTATGGGTGTGGGCACGTAATGGTACAAAGACTCTATTGAACATAAATAACAGGGAGCAATGTTGTTATGTCTATCACACTAGCGCAGGCACTGTCTTCAGCAGGTCTTACTGTATACAGTCAATTCAAAAAATGTTGTCGTCGACCAACTCAAGCCTACGCGACTGGACCGAAAGGAACTCTGGGTAGCAATCAATGAAGCCGAGTTGACTCCATAATTTTATCTCACTAGTTATACCTGGTTTACAGCACGAACCTTCGTAGGGGAGCGGGAAGTGTTGAAGGAGACGTTTTTTTAATGCCTTCATATTTTCGAAATTGTGAACTGAATCATAACTACTTTGTTTTTCTTTTCCTAAACCCGAAGACATGCATTTGATGGATTGTTTCTCGCCAATATTATCTTATTACTAGAGGGAACAATTAATTCAGAACGAATATTTAACCGCTTCAGTGATTTTTTCCCACATTCCTTTCGGTCCAGTCGCGTAGGCTTGAGCCGGTCGACGACAAGGTTTTTTGAATTGACTGTAGTCCGCCTTATAGAGGGTTATAATAAAGACAGACATTGCCATAGCAACTGAAGCCTTGGAAACCAACACCAAAAGGCTTCCCATGCCATCCAATGTTACCATGGTAATCAATAGCATTATGGATATTACTATGTCAACTAATACCCTTAAATATCTTAAGAAATTGGTCTACTCACCATTGGAAAGCTCTCACTCATGTGTAATGGGTTTAATGGTTTACCAGTTTTTCTAGACTGTAAATCGAAAATGTATATATGTTTATAAGTAGCTCGATAAACAACAAAATTTTAAGAATAAATCAGCTATGAAAATATTGGATTGAGCTTGCTAGACCAAGGCCCCGTCTACTCGTATCCGGAAATTTTTGTATCCGCAAATTATTTTTTGCGGATACGAAAATGTTTGCGTCCACACGCAGCGTATTCGAATCATTTTCACCGTCCACACGTATCCGTTTTCGTAAAATTTGCGGATACGGACACAAAAATTTGCGGACACGTGTGGACGCAACCCGTATCCGTAAAAAAAAATTTGCGGATACAAAATTTTGCAGATACGTGTGGACGGGGCCTAAATGTTTTTTTTTTAATTGTGTCAACTCAGTGCAYTTTTTCATTGCAGGAAAACCTACATAGCATTTAGTTGATGTATCGCATCAAGGAAATCTATCGTATTAGGTGCGATTCACTGTATTTTTATTAATTGAGCAGGTGCACGTTACGTCATAGCCGCCATCTTGGTTGACGATAACAAAGCATTCCTCAATAGCTTCTCTTGTTAGATCAACCAAGATGGCGGCTGTTACATTGTTATTCACATCTCAAGGGATTTTGAGACACATGATTGCACACACTCTGTTTCATCCACTACGGTCTAATTGACCTTACAACATATCACACGGCGGCCATGTTGATTCTCATGAGAATAAAAACCTTTGTTTCCCCAGCATAAATTAAATCTCAAGCGCTTGAATTTGAGGCTAGGCGTGGTGGAATCTAATGTTCAATCCAACATGGCTGCAGCGTGAATAAGGCCCATACATTACATCAACTACTTGCTACGCAGGCTCTCCCAATCACAATGCATTCAACGCCCCAACGTTTTCATTAGACACAGGAAGCCCAATTCAGAAAATCCTATTCAATTTCTGACTGGATTGAAACACTAAATTTTGATGATGTGAGAAATGTTCGCTTACCTCTTTGACAACATCACTAAGACAGTCTAACCAGAAGGATAGGTTTAACTCATAAATAGTTTCTATGTTACTGAATAACTTGGGTATTTCAATCTGAAAGAAACGTTAGCAAGAATCATTTAGTTTGTGCATAACGTTTTCATCAGAGCAGATAACAATATCTTGAGTATGATTTCTTTGTCTAGGTATACACGACTTTCAAAAATGGCTGCCAATCTCGGTTAGGACTAGGGACAATTGAATGGAAGCGAGGTAAGTAAGGCCTCATTAGTAAACAAAGTCTCCTCAGTACGATATTTTGTGTCCAAGTCATTCATTTCACCAATTCGAGTTCTTTTAAGCGTCTTTTGAAGTGAGGGTGAATGACTTTGACACAAAATATCGTACTGAGTAAACTTTGTTTACTAATGAGGCCTTACTGACCTCGCTTCCATTCAATTGTCCCTAGTCCGAACCGAGATTGGCAGCCATTTTTGAAAGTTGTGTATAACACCCAAGTTTCGAGTTATCTTTGCCCAGCCTTAGTCTCGGTTGTGCGTCATAATATTCAGCTATTCAAGCAAAACCCGTGGTATTTTTATCAACTCGTATCTGTTCCGTAGTGCGTACATTCCTTACTATAAAATGGCCCTTAATAAAACAAAAGAACACATTTTTTTTACACAATCGAGGCTGACTGAGCAAAGGCGAACTCGAAATGGGAGTATTCTTAGTTCGGCTTAATGCAAGAGAATTGCATTCTTTATTTTTTTACAAAAAAAAAAAAAACATTTAAACTCAGATGTAAAATTCAACCTTACACCTTTGTGAAAGACCATCATATTTGGTACATTCTCATGTTTGTACGATCCATTTATTTGACCGATTAGCAGTTTTAGAAATTCGATTGAAAGAAGAGAAGAAAAAAACCAATCTATATCTCTGTTGGCTGTATTAGAGCGTGTACAAGATAAATGTAATAATAGTCCATCTTAAAATATAGAATTAGCCATGGTTTTCAACCATTCCCAAGAGAATTAAATAACAAAAGACATGGCGGCCATGTTGGAGGATATAACAAAAGAATTCATTGACAATTCTTTTGTTAAGTTCCTCCAACATGGCCGCCCTGAAAACCATGGATACTCAAATCTGAAATAATCTTATTATAACTTACGTCTTTCAAAAATCCTTCATTCTGTAAATTTCTAAGACAAAGTATAAATAACTGGAAAAAACAAAAACAAGATACAATCAAACAGTTATTTTTGCAATATCAATACATCAATCACATTTTGTTCTTGCCAAATTAATTTCTGATTAACTTCTATTATGCTGGGTGGTGTAGCTCTCACATCTGACACATCTAGGGTCTCAAGTTTAACTTCCCACATGATCGATCTTGATTCAAGAATTTTTCTTTCTCCTCAAAACCTAACAGGCGGAATTTCAATTCAATCTGTGAGGTAGTCGTGCCCTGCCTTTGATCAGCCCAGAGGGTGTTTCAGGGTATCAATCCGTGAGTTAGCTGTACCCTGCCTTTGATCAGCCCAGAGGGTGT